GGAAACTGACAACTTTCCACTCAAACAATGGCAGTCATGCACTGGCACCCCGTGCTAATTTCCCTTGGCATTTCGTCAGACAACATTCCAAGGTTTGGGCGTTGTCCTGGGTGCCGAAGGGTGAGTTGCTGCCCATCCCCACTCTTTTTTCTGATGTGGAATGTGTTGTAGGTCGCTTTGAAAACTCCCTGGTGATGATTCAACCTTGATTTGTTTCTGCGAAGCAAAAGCACGGTTTCACACAGGGACGGCTTTTTGAGGGTCTCCACCCCCTAAGCCACGTAATACCACTTTGACAAGTTTTTTGCACGTCGTCTTCTGCCAGGTCCGCTACTCAGGGGCTCGGCAGCAGGGAAGTGTTTGATGAATTTTTGGTTATGTTTGGCTGAATTTTGGCCCATGTGTTTTTGATAGGGTTTCTTTGAATCAATATGTTCTGCTGGTCGCTTCTTGAATTGGCTGGAGGTTTTTGGCCGCGATGCCAGTATTGGCATAAAAATGTCCATTTTTCTGTGTGTAGCTAAAAGGTTTTTAGCTGCGCGTTTGACATCTGCAGGGATAGTATCAGCCCAAGATTTGATCTGGTTGCGTTAAGAGCTGATACCTGATGAGTATTTTTCCATTTTTAAGAGCGTGCCAGTGATAGTCTTGACGAAATCCCTTGCTTTTTCGCAAGCTCATGGTGGGCTATAGCACACATGTTGTGTGGTAAGCGGGCCCTTTCCGTTGAAGAGGCTTTCGATTTTCCTTTTATCATGATTGGTATTTGACACTAATCACATACATGTGCTTCATGTAACGCATCCAAAGCACATTAATTACATGTATTGCCTCTATCTACAATCATCACAATCACTATCTGAATGTCAGTGTGTGAAATACAGAGAAACGGGACACTAAGCAAAACCACCGTTTAGTCATGAAAAAGTTTTCGTGCATTGCTTACAATCGTACTTTGATTCGACGCCAAGCGTCTTACATCTTTTACTGAGTCGCTGTCACCCAGGTCTCTGCTGTTTTTAACCCACGATGTTGTAATGGTTCGAGATGGCTCTTCAACTTTCGTCGGCCGTCTATTTGTCAATCGTCTGCAAGCCCGCGTGTGTTAAGATTGTTGTCTTTACGTTGCCATTTCGTTCCTGCAAAATTTTGTTTCAGTTTGCAGAGTGCTTGGTCTATATAACCGTTCTGCATCGACTTCTTTTTTGCCACGCCTTGCCCCCCCCCCTCCTGCAAAGTAAATCTACAAATATATGAGTGCATCATTTACTGCGTGTCAATGTAAGTGCTTCTGCCCAAAAAAAATGTTTATGCCACTAAAACATCGGAACCCTCTGGAACCTCACAAAGCGTCTGCATCGGAACCCTCCGGAACCTCACAAAGCGTCTGCATCGGAACCCTCCGGAACCTCAACAGGTATCTGCACCGGAACCCTCCGGAACCTCAACAGGTATCTGCACCGGAACCCTCCGGAACCCTCCGGAACCTTGCCCAGAACCTGGTGTTGAAGCTGCACCGGATCGCACCAGAGCTAATCTGGGCTAAAGACCCCATAGCAACGTTTTGCTGCTGGGGAATTACGCAGGCGCAAAGGAAATGAAAACTACAGACGAGGCAATGACAAGCACTGCTACATGGCAAACCCAGGACCAACGAAGGACAAAATGAATATCAAGTCGGAGTTTCCAATTCAGGCCATTTACAAAACGTGAGTTTCTGTGGAAGTGTTCCTTGGTTCTCCAGTCCTTCTGTTGTTTTGTTTCGCAAGAGAAAATGAGTAGGGTCTGACTTCAACACCTGGGGCACCGCTAAGCCAGGATTCCCGAACCAGAAAGACTTTGTCAATCCGTCAACAATTCACAAACACAGTACCCTGATTACAATCTGAGACGTGCTATAGACCTGTATACCTTCCACTCTCATTCCACTCCGTGCCCAGATTACAGTCTGTACCGGCTCTTGCAATGCCAACAACATGCTCTTGGAACCTTCAGCAAAACACCGTTCTCCTCCAGCTCTTGTACCAGCAATTCCCGTACCTTTGAATGGTTGCTGACTGCACAATCAGAAAATTATATAATGTCATCCCCGTCCATCTTTGCCTCTTCCGAAAGTTATATAATAGAAATGGAAGAGAAATGCCTTCTGATACAATACTGTGGTTGAAATCTTCATAGCCTGCCAACAACGGCCATCTCTGCTGGAAAACATATCTCCGGATACCTATACGTATATTATATATACACCCCGTGTATCAATCCCTCAAACCCTCACGCCCTTCTCCTTTACCTAGCCATTCCAATCCTGTCACTGCTTCTCCCTCATGTTTCAACATGCATACAAAGGCCCCAGCATGTGGATTCTGCGGTGGGTTTGTCATTCCCTGCGGCCTCAAAACACACATTCCAAATAAACATGCCAAGCAGAGGAAAGGAAAGGTGGGGCTATCAAGAAACAGAGAGGACCAAAAAAAAACTTGTGGGAACCTCTGCGTGTTTGTATGTCTTCGATTGTTGAATTGTAATCCTCTGTTTGTTTTCCTTTTTATTGATGGCTTTTGTGGCTTGTTGGCTTGCTGGCTGGTGTGCTGGTTTAGGTATTGTGTGCAGTACAATTCTGTATGAAGCATCCATGAATTGTATGTGCAATGTGTGGTGTGTGGGTGAGCTTTATCATTAGAAGCAACGCCAGTATCCTCTGTACTGATAACTGATGCAATGCAGGGACGAAATGCACTCCGTGTTAAACGCACTGCAACGAAGCCATGCTTTAGAGTTGGAAGCAAGGCATGATTAACCATCTGTACTTCCTATCATTCCATCTGACACTGCAGTTGCCTAGTCACGGCTAGTCTGTTGTTGCCACTGCCAGTGCTGAGACAGGCGTCAGCACTGGACTTCTTGCCCCATCTCTGGCCATCTCTTACAATTAATCATGGCCGCCATGGCCTAAGAATCTCAAATGATGGCTCTTTGGCTCATAGCCACATGTGGGAATCCGCCGCTGACTGTGGTAACCATTACCCTCCAAGACACGGCCTTGTGGTGTTCAAGAATCATGTATGATGCGTGGCTGTGTCTGTGTGTGTCATAGTTTGCTTCTTGTCAGTATGGCTACTTTTGGTTGCTATTTGTTTGTTTGTTTTTGCGTGTGTGTGTGTGTAGTTCTGCATGTGTTTCCCTTTGGCCTCATGCTGGCAGAGAATCCTTGTTGCTTCGAAGAACTGATCATAACATTCAGAGTAAGCTTTGGTGACATTCGCTACAATGACACCTTTGGAAGTGAAGGCAGTTGCGATTCTCTGCCTTTGTGCGGGTGTGGCTGTTTTGCAAAGCGTGTACTCTGCCAGCATACTATGATGGGGATTGTCTAGGTTTCTAATGTTTTCATACAAGCGCCTTAATCAAAAACATTGCCAGTACAGTAGTCGCTTGAGGAAGCCCGGTGTATGCAACGGGATTTTCTTCAAATTCTGATCAGCCTGAAAGGCCATGAAATTACTCACGGATCAGCCAAACCCAAGCCCCAATCTCCACAATAAGGAGGAATTCCAGGAATGTATCTGAAGAAGAGTGCAACAAATGAAGGTCTACAGTATGTTGACCATCAATCCGTTTGAATGGTTTGATCCAAGAATTTTGCCATGCAAAAAGAGGCCCCCGGGCGGTGCACGTCTGTAGGTCGACACGGCTGCATTGGGCCCAACCTGTGGAAAACAATGCAAGATGTGCAAGATGTGCAAGGTGTGCACTGTGCACTGAACACATGGCTCGGGTTGTAACTATCTGCAGGTCTGCAGGACCCGGACATGTGGCCCAAACCACTCCTCGAAGGACATGCCTCAGTGCGGTGTATTCTTGTCTCGGCCTGAAATGTGCCATGTCTATCCATGTCTGGTGTCTAAAGTTGAAATCAAAGGTGAGAGCCTTACCCAAAGCTGCAGAGCCAGGATCAAATGGAATCAATTGAAACGTGCATCAGCTGCAAAACTCAGTAACAGTATGTTTGTTGTGTCTGTGTTGTTGGCATACTGTTGGCAGTAGCTGAAAAGCACTTGGTTACCGGTCTCGCATAGCTGCTTCTATTGTTTGTTGCTTTCCACCATTGGCTGTTGTTTATAGATTTCCGTTTAGCCGACCGGCTGCACCTAAGCAAAGAAAGGAGAGGCAACGGTCCAAGTCCAATGCACCAGGAGAAGTGCCAGGCAGTGCATGTTTGATCGATTGGACAATACCAAATACCAAGTGTAAGGGAAAAGGACAAACTGTTTCCTGGAAGCCATAAAGGAAAGTTATCGATAAGAATGATGCATCTGAGGCTTTGCACCACCTCCAAAACGTCTCAACACAACTCAATTTTTCTCTCGTTGGCTATTGCAGCCTCTGGCAGTGACAAAAGCTTCCGTAGCCATGGGTGCAGTGGCAACCCATTCAACTGAAACATGACGCTCAGCCTTTGGCTTTGCGTCTGGGGTTGCCAAGTCACAGCCCAAAAGCCGAGTGACAAGATCGGACAACCTCATTTCATGTTTCTTTGCTGTCTTCCCAAAGTCTCATCGGACTAATCCCTCCCCAATTGCTTGCTCAACACACTGTGCTGTTCTGGGTGAACAAACCAGGTCTTGCTTGATCTTTGGCACCCTCTGGCTCTTTCACAGAATTGTTTGCCACGGTTTGCCGCAGCAAGGCTCTCAGCGGCACAAGCACCCCCCCGTTCAATGAGTTTCGGTAACTTTTGATGTGGTTTCGAATATTTGGCCCAAAGGGGCCGTGAAGACACAACAGCAAGACTCAGCAAGACGTATGTGCTCAATTAATTGAGATGCAGTCGCAGCTTGCAACGCATGCTGGTCAAGTAGCGGTCAATGTTGGGGGTCATGGCCAGACTTCCTGCCACTTGTTGGCAGTAGGCCTAGGAAGTGAGACTTTGACGTTGAACCACCTAATTTGCTACTGGTTGCTTTTCCCCCTCGTAAATTTTCTATTTTGAATTTCTGATTGCTCTCTCTTATCAGTCCTTCAGTTCGTGCGTACTTTGACGCTGAACCAAAGGATCTGTCAAGTCCAGCCTCTGAAACAAGGAGACTATAACCTGTGTTCAGAAGTTCCTTCCTTCCACACAATTTTGTGGCCCTTGCATTTCAGTGGAATTTCAGTCATTCTTATATAACCTCGGCACATCTGCACGCAGGCAAATTTCAATTGTACCTTCATGTGTACCATGTACATATTCATTTTCACAAGTGTATATTTATATATGTATATGATTATTTAAGCATACGGATAACATTTGTATATATATATATAGATAGATGTATATATATAGATATATATATGTATATATATATATTATATTATATATATATGATCATCTTCGAATCGATAGAACATGGAGTCTACTCCAGGATGACTACATAATATATATATATATACATATCTAATTATATACATACACGGCAATATATATACATATACATAATGTACCCACATTGGTATGATTTGGTTGAGGGTCGATTTATTGACAAAAAGACATAAACATCCTAGCGGATCTGTCACCGTCCCAAAACTATGGGAAGGTAGGTGTTTCATCAAAGCGAAAGGGTTGTTTTTTTGGGTGCTGAAAGGCAACATATATATTCCCCCCATCACTATGTGGGGTTCTAGTTTTTTGCTGCCTCCCCGCAGCCGCCGTACTCATCCCACCGTCCTCCCTCATGCTCACTCGCATCACACTCCTCTATACCAACTTGTGTCCATGTCCATCACGTTCATCTACATCAACTTGTCTCTATCACACTCCTCTCTATCAACTTGTCTCCATCACACTCCTCAATACCAACTTGTGTCCAACACCTTCATCTGCATCAACTTGTCTATCACACTCCTCTCTATCAACTTGTCTATCAACTTGCCCCCAGTCTCTATCACACTCCTCTCTATCAATTTGTCTATCAACTTGTCTCCATCACACTCCTCTATACCAACTTGTGTCCATCACGTTCATCTGCATTGACTTGTCTCTATCACACTCCTCTCTATCAACTTGTCTATCAACTTGTCTCCATCACACTCCTCTATACCAACTTGTGTCCATCACACTCTTCTATATCAACTTGTCTCCATCACGTTCATCTGTGTCAACTTGTCTCCATCACACTCCTCTATACCATTTTGTGTCCATCACCTTCATCTGCATCAACTTGTCTCTATCACACTCCTCTCTATCAACTTGTCTATCAACTTGTCTCCATCACATTCCTCTGTATCAGCTTGTCTCCATCACATTCCTCTGTTTCAACTTGTCTCTATCACACTCCTCTCTATCAACTTGTCTCCATCACACTCCTCTATACCAACTTGTGTCCATCACGTCCATCTGCATCAACTTGTCTCTATCACACTCCTCTCTATCAACTTGTCTATCAACTTCACACTCCTCTCTATCAGCTTGTCTATCAACTTGTCTCCATCACACTCTTCTATACCAACTTGTCTCCATCACATTCATCTGCACACTTGTCGCCATCACACTCCTCTCTATCAACTTGCCTATCAACTAATCCCCATCACACTCTATATGAACTTTACTGCTCAACCCCAACCCCATCCCAACCCCAACCCACAATTTTGTGGGACGGCAAAAGATCCGTCTGCATAAACATCTTTTGCTGTATGGACCTTTAAGACTGCAATCTCCATGTGTGGGGGCCGTGGAAAGCCTTGGCTTTGGGGATAGGGTTGCAGCGAGGTGGGGCGGGAGGTTGGGGTGTGGGGGCGGAGTGGCGTGATCTGCCAGCATCTGTTTTCCCTGAAGTTGACCTTAAAGCACGTCTCGAACTCTTAAAGAACATCAAAACGTATCACTTCTGCAATATGTCTTCTCTATACACATTTGTATGTGTGTATGGGTGCATGTTTGCATGTAGGTACGTACCTACATATGTGTGTAATGGCATCTATGTAATGGCACATATCACATATGTAATGGTATGTGAATGTATGTAACGGTATGTAATGGTATGCACAGTATGTAATGGCATAATGGCATGTATGCAATGGCAACCATGTAATGGTATGTATGTAGATGTATGTAGTGGCATGTATGTAATGGCATGTATGTAATGACATGTATGTAATGGCATGTATGTAGTGGCATGTATGTAATGGCATGTATGTAGTGGCATGTATGTAATTGCACATATGTAAGGGCATGCATGTAATTATGTAATGGCATGTATGTAACGGAATGTATGTAGTGGCATCTATGTAGCGCCACATATGTAATGGCACAGATGTAATGGCACAGATGTAATGGTATGTGAATGTATTTAACGGTATGTAATGGCATGTATGTAATAGTATGTATGGAATGATATGTAGGAATTGTATGTCTTATGTAATGATTTGTGATGCAGTGGCACGTATGTAATGGCATATATGTAATGGCACGCATTGAATGGCATGTTTGTACGGCCATGTATGTAACGGCATGTATGTAATGGTATGTATGTTACGGTCAGAAAATATATGCACAGTAATGGTATGTAATGGCATCTCTTTAATGGCATGTATGTAATTGCATGTATGTAAAGGCATGTATGTAATGGCATGTATGTAAGGGCTTGTATGCAATGGCATGTATGCAATGACATCTATGTAGTGACACATATGCAATGGTTCAGATGTAATGGTATGTAAATGCATGTAATCGTATGTAATGGAATGTATGTAATCGCATGTATGTAAGACTATGTGTGTAATGGATTGTAATGTTAGGTGTGTAATGGCATGTATGGAATGGTATGTATGTATTGGTATGATGTTATGTCATATATGTAATGCGATGTGCAATGTTATGTATGTAAGGTCATGTATGCAATTGCATGTACGTAATGGTATGTATGTATGGACACCCATGTAGGGGCATCTATGTAAGGGCACGTATGCAACGGCATGTATGTAACAACATGTATGTAACACTATGTATGCAACGGCATGTATGCAATGGCACGTACGCAACGGTTTTTATGTACCGGCATGTATGTAATGGTATGTATGTAATGGCAAGTATGTAATGGTATGTATGAAAATGGATTGTAATGGCATGTATGCAATGGCATGTATGTAAGGGCATGTATGTATTGGCATGTATGTCATGGCATCAATGTAGTGGCACATAAGTAATGGCACAATGTAATGGCATGTATGTATGTAATGGTAGGTAAGGGTATGTATGGCATCTATGTAAAGGCATGTATGTAAGGGCATGTATGCAATGGCATGTATGTAACGGCATGTATGCAATGCTATGTATGCAAAGGCATGTGTCTGATGGCATGTATGCAATGGTATGTACTGGCATGTATGTAATGGCATGTGTATGCTGGATTGTAGTGGCATGTATTCAATGGTATTTATGTAATGGCATGGATGTAATGGTATGTATATAATGTTATGTCTGCAATGGTATGTATGTAAGGGCACGTATGTAATGGCATGTATGTAAGGGCACGTATGTAATCGTATGTATGTATATAATGGTATGTATGTAATGGTGTGTATGTAATCAATCTAAGTAATGGTATGTATGCACTGCTATGTATGTCATGGTATGTCTGTAATGGTATGTGCAGTGGTCTAATGGTATGTATGCAATTACATGTGTGTAATGGTATTTGTTTAATGGCATTTTTGCAATACATGTATGTAATGATATGTATGTAATGTAATGGCATGTATGCAATGGTATGTAGATAATGGTATGTAACCAAATGGTATGTAACGGTATGTATGTAAGGGCATGTATGTAATGGCATGTATGCAATGGCAGGCATGTAATGGTATGTAGATAATGGTATGTAACCAAATGGTATGTAACGGTATGTATGTAAGGGCATGTATGTAATGGCATGTATGCAATGGCAGGCATGTAATGGTATGTAGATAATGGTATGTAACCAAATGGTATGTAACGGTATGTATGTAAGGGCATGTATGTAATGGCATGTATGCAATGGCAGGCATGTAATGGTATGTAGATAATGGTATGTAACCAAATGGTATGTAACGGTATGTATGTATGTATGGGCATGTATGTGTATGATATGTATGTAATGCAATGGTATGTAGATAATGGTATGTAGATAATGGTATGTAACCAAATGGTATGTAACGGTATGTATGTAAGGGCATGTATGTAATGGCATGTATGCAATGGCAGGCATGTAATGGTATGTATGTAAAGGCATGTTTGTAAGAGGTTGTGAATTTATGCAATGACATGTATGTATGCAGGATCGCGCTCGTTGAGTGTGGTGGGGATCTGGCCCGATCAGCGGGGGCAAGTGTTCCGGAACACATATTGAATCATATTGATTCCTGTATATTCCTGTGATCAGGTTTGCGAGGTCGCTACTTTCCCAGGGACATCCACCGCAGCAAACGCAACATGATTACAGTATCACAATAATATAACAATTGTAAATCGTCCCTGGTGACACTTGGGTAAGTCGGGTAGCGAGACAGCTTGTAAGTTGGAACTTGATTGACAGATATTCACAGTATGTCATGTGAATCACAAAGCCGAAGGAGATCTGTCAAGCTCACAACAAACCACTGCCAAATAGCCAAAGAGTTTGTGTTTGTCTCTGCAAACTTTGGAGCCAGTATCGAATTGTGAAAGCTATGATCTGAAGTTCAAGCATCAGCTTCTCAGTGATGTATAATGTCGCTACTGAGCATGGGGCATTCCAATTCGCCCTGACAAGGCAAAGCAACAGAAGTCTGATTGGCTGGAGAAAGAGGGTAGAGACCCTGGGCACTGGAAAGTACATTCACCAAGACACCACCGGCTGACAGGAAGTAAGTTGAAATTTTGCTTCGAATATGATAAAAGTCAACTGCAGATTGATTTGTTCAGCAAGATTTTGTAAAACACTTAAGGTGAATAAATCAGCAAGATTTGTTTGGATTCACTTCGCTATTCACTTCGCAATTATCGTTCTGCCCTATGAACTGACCCGCCTGCGGACATGTGGATTGCCGAGTTCTGGTTCAAGGTGCAGAATCTCCGGGCCTTGATCCCAGAGATGAAAACACTTCGGGTTCAGCCGGGTCTCAACACATTTTTTTTGTCAAAACATGATATCCGGTAGAGTCATCCCATTACGAGTTCCTTATAAGGCGTGTGCCAACCCCTTTTAATGGGATGACCATGCCACATATAATATCTACAGATAGTCAAAGAAACACAAGAGCAGAAACGTCACAATGGAATGCAAATGACATAAGTCACACCTTGCTGGCGAACTCACTGCCAAATCACAAATTGAAATTAGGAAATGCGCCGCTGCTGAGGTCTTAGGATACTTCTAGGAGTTCATAGGAGTTCATGGAATTCTTCCCAGACTGAAACATACTGAAACGATGTTCAAAACGATCTAAAACAGCAATGCATCGGAGTCAAATTCGACGAGTCGACTCAGTCGACTCAGTCGGCTTCGTTTTGAAAGCTCTTGCGAAGCTGGACTGCCGCTATCGGTCAATTGCAAATCACATTGGACGTGCCGCTCGGGCCCCTGAAACAGGATCGTTCTGTATCACAGCAAGTCAATCACTGCCATTTATCACGCATGTTTATCTAGGCCTTCTCTGAATCGGTGTCCTATCTCTTTGAAACTTCTGCCACTTCTGCCCATTACCTGACTGGGCTTTATTGGTAGGTGTTCATCCCTGTGCTAAAACACAGTTGGAAAATGGGCCTGGGCGTTATTTTTGGATCATATGCACCTGAGCCCACTCTCCCAACCCAGCCACCACTTGGCTCCAGTGCCATTCAGTGGGTGCTTCAGGTATTCGCGACGATATTCTGAGGAACCTGGTGGAACATGACTTGCCGTGGGGTTCTACTAGTTCTAGCCTGCCTGTTGCAGTTTGCATTTTGGGTGCATGGAGAATATACCTCTCAAGGAAAGTGTTTGCAGTGCCAAAATGAAACTCTGTGGGAGTCGGGAAGACATGCATTAATATCTAATCCAGGCGGTCGGGATCTCTTTCTAAGATGTTGTACTTTGCTGAAAAGGAAAAGGAAAATTGTGATCATCCGAAGTTGATGTCTGTTGTTTTAGTGCACTGCTTTGAAGCTTAACCCAGGTGATACCTGGGTGGTCCTCACCTTCGAATGGTTTCGGCTCACTCTGAAGATTGCTGCCATCCATTCTGATAGGCCTCGCGAAAGAGCTTCTTGCGAACACTTAGGCAAAATCAGGTGGACACAATCAGAAATTCAGAAATCAGAAAACATGTAGAAGGTTTTACACGCTTGTTCATGCTATGGTATGCACGTTATTCCACTCGCTAAACAGACCCTGAAGGACTAGCAATTCTTGGCAAAGATTCTCTCTCACTAACTTCTCACCCCTTTAACCCCATGGAATTCAAGTTTAGACATCTTTGTGTCATCTTTGTGTCATCTTTGCGTCCACTCGACTGCGTATGCTTTGATATGCTTTGACATGCTTTGATATCCTCATGGGGGGAACACTCAGCCGCCTCGTCTGTGGCACCTGGAACCTCTTGTAATCTGTGGTGTAGGTGGTACATCCCTGACAGAAAACTCACAGAAAGACAGAAAAAAGGCTTACAATTGGTGCAAAATGTATCAAAATGTTGCAAAAGCTAAATCGTGCTAGAGTTTATACAAACATCTCATTCGAGTGCATGGACCTTAGGAACCGGAAAAACTCGATGCAGAGAATCTGGGAGGTAAGGAAGAAGACTGTACAAAACTCCAGTTTACTTCATATGGTTTCAAGAGAAAGCAAACTCATTTGATTGTAGAATATTCAAAGGATCCGTTCGAAGTGCCTCAAACGGCCCAGAGGCTGGGAGTTGTGGTTTGGGTCGCCCCGTTGCAGACCTGGCAACTGGACTTGCTCAAACCTCCAACGCTTCTGATTATATAGTCTGATTGCAAACAGAAACAAAAAACAAACCATAACAAAACGTTGTACTTCAACCCCGGTAGAAACACCAAAAAGCATGCAACAGCTTGAAGTAAAAACTAAGATTCGATGTCTTGACTGCCAGCCATCCACTGTTGCAAGTGCCACCGTGCTGAGAATCTGACTCGAGCAACTTATTGCACCATGCCACTTAGTCAAAAATATATAGCACTGACGCTTTTTTTAAACAGCAGACCTACACTGTCAGTGTTCGCTCAGAGAAAGTCTTCAGTGTAGTGTGCCAAAATCCAAGAAGGAGTTCCATGACATGCTGGGAAAACTCACACCAGCTGATCGCGTCTCATGCTCCATCTGCTTTGGAAAAGGACTTGGCACTCTAGAGGCAAGACAATTCAAAGTGTCGATCAAGAAGGAAGAATGTTTTGATGTGAAACAGCTAGAAATATCTAGCAACATAGTTCAAAATAAATCAAAATGATTCAATATGATCAAAAACGATCAACAAAGAAACAAAGATCAACAAAAACGATCAACGATGATCAACACGATTCAATTTTTTATGTGCAGAAGTCCTTTGATTTCATGCACCCTGCCTTGGACGTGCTGGATGCTTCACGTAGTCCTGCTGATATGAGGAAAGACCCTCAAACCTTGGCAGGGAAAGCGGGGGGGGCCCTGGAAAAAAACCCAACCCAGAAGTAAATGCTACTCTCTCCGCTAGTCACCGCTACTCGCCGCTACTCACTAAATGTTGCTACGGATTGCGGATTGCTACAGCATGTAATTACAGTAGGTTTCACAGTTTCACATCTTCTTACACCTGGCACTACGCCTTGCACCTGCCCTGCACCTTCCCGTACTTGAGTCCTTTGCGGGACGGCTTTTCCTGGAGGTGCCTAGCGCAACATTTCTGCAACTTTAGTGAGCAGCTTTCACCATCAAATACACGTGAAGCATCTTGATACGTGCCAGTTCCTTGGCGAACATTGCACTTCTGCAGTGTCAACTGCACAACAAGTGCATGGGATTAAAATAGATGTTTGTCGTTTTAGTTATGCAACTATGCAACGTTTTAACATTCGAACGCAACACATTTGCCTGCTTCGAAGTCTTGTCTGGTGGCTTGACATTGTGCCTGGCCAAGTTCAAAATGAAAGCCACATACATTCTATCTTGTTTGCAAATGTTGCTGCCCTATGCAGGTTCAACCAAATGAATTTAGATCAGTATGATGCTTCTTCAATCTAACTCCGAAATATTTTTTGAAATGAAATGACATGAAACTGCTACCATTTAGAGCAGCTTTCGTGTACTGAGTAGTCCAACCATGGATACTCGCAGGCATAGGTGCTCTTTCCCGTCTTCACACCGGTCCTGCATGCACTGCCAAAGCTGAAGAACATTAAACATGAAACCCCACTCATGTTGGAAGCAGTTTTTTCCCATGATGATGCATACTCAACAACTTTGAACCAGCACCCGCATGCCTGCCGGGTTCCCAAACATTCTTGGGTGGCTTCGCAGAATCACGTGCCTGGCTAAATCTGTTGGCAACGATTGAATCAGCAACAGACCTTTGCCTTCGAGCGAACAGAAGTGAATGCTGCTTTTGCAAGTCTGCCATGCACAAAGCATTTCGCAATTTATCAGTCGCTGAACCTCAAGTGGATGAGGAATGTAGTCAACTGTGTAGCTGGACCTCCCATCAAACCTCAAGAGTAGCAGTTGCTGGAAATCAAGTCAACGGTCAAAAAGTATTCCATAGTTTGTTCCTTTTCAAAGAGGAAGCTTTGCAGAAGATGGGGCATGTTATTCGATTGAAAGACCTTGACCATCGGAGAAACTGAGGGCAGAGCGGCACACTTTCTTTTGGTCCATCCTGATCTGCCGGAGGCTTCTTGGCCTGCTGAATCGGTCCGAAATACGCATGCGAGTCATGCGAGTCATTCGAGTCATGCGAGACGTTTTTTTTGCTTCTCCAACCGCTCACCTTTCCTCATGGCACTAAACAGTCAGAGTACACGCTCTCGGCAAAAAACGTTGGCATCAGAAAAAAATGAAATGCGCAAGGGTACTCTAAATCTTCTCACTGTGGCATCAAACTTGTCTCCTTGCATTGTCTGGAGACGTAAGGATGATACAGATAGCGCAAGATCATCAAGAAACCAATGTAAACCGTGCAGGATACTCTTTGCAAGCAAAACAACCACTTGATTTGTTTGGTTCTTTTAATCGTGTATGTATATATATATATACACACATTATATATATATATTATATATTAGTTTTAGATCTGGGATCTGGATTTCGCTGACGTGCCTGCAGTGGGTGCGGCACATAGTGAGCTTGATGCGTGGACAGCGGTGGCGGGCCCTCGGCTGTGACCCATTACATACATGAATCCCAAAAAATGCAAAACTATGTGAGCAATCGCGGAAACTCAAGGTTCACCAAAACTACATCAACAAATTTATGAAGGTCCCATCACTTACCACATGTTTGCACAAAAATGCTGCATGGCAAATTTGGGGGTGTCGCTTCAAGGAAAATGATGTGTGTGTGTGCTTGTGCACAAGTATGACCTAAGCTTCAAAGGGGGTATCGCTGTTTGGGAAGGTCCCATCGCTTACCTCATGTTTGTAAAATGTATGAAAACCAATGTCCGTCGCTTCCAATGACTTCCAAGTTTCCTATTGCTGATGTTTTTGCGGTAGTTCATGTAAATCAGTGGCAGCGTGCTGTCTTTCAACTTCCGCTTTACAACACAACTGCCTGCTCGTCCGCATTGGCAGTCAAGATCACGACATCTCCATCCTGCCGACAACTTGCACGACAAAGTTGAGACATTTTGAATCAAACGCGAGATTCATGCCTTCCAAGTATCTGTACTGCAAGGTGTGAAACCAGTTTTGGCGTCAATTTGCCGTGTTTTCGATCCATTTTCAAACACACTGAACAGGTTATTGAACTGGGACCAGAACGCCAAAAATTCTAGATGAAAATAAAAGGAATTCATTTTCATTTTTATGCTTCGTGAATTTACGGTTTCTTGTGCAATGGAACCAACCTGAAAAGAAATGATCATAAACAATGGGCGCAGACTGACAACTCCATGGCACAAGCCTTCACATTGGACATGTGATTGGGATGAGTGATGACCACCTTTCCATGATGAAACCTGTCACAGAGTCCAACGTCTAAATCGAAGCAAAAACCAGGTACACAAAACGGAAATTCGTCAAGTTGAATAGAATTAAAGCTAATTGTATGTCTACTTTGTAGGTACAGCATGATCAGCATGATCAGCATGATCAGCATGATACAGCATGTTCAAGATTGTTTAAAGGTGCTGAGAGGCGCACATGCGAAAGGGTTTGCTGGATCCACGTTTGGTGCTGAAATGTCGTTGCGCATGGCCCTTGAGTTCATGCAAGGTACGCCTGACAAATGCTGCACAATCTGCACAGCACACGCCGTGCAGGTTTGAGAAATGGATGAAAAATTTTAAAATTGATCTGTACTAAATTTTCTAAATGTTTGTTCATTTTGTTCGTAGACTGTTTTGTTCCTGGGCACCCAACGGCAACGAAACTGTTACACGTTGATCATGATCGCCAATCAATGTGCCTGCAGACATGAAATAAAAACATGACCAGATTGACTAGATTCAAACAATTTCAATACGACACTCCGTGAGGGATGTTGCTGCAATTGGCCTAGGTTCGACATGATTCGCACAAGGATCAAACGAGGCCAAAATCACAGCAATACCGAATACCGCAATATCATTAGATACTATTTGTTTGGTTTCGGTACATTGTTGCATTGAATGAAAAATGAGATGAAATGTGAAAAATTGGACACCGCAAAAACATGTCCTGTGGTGTTTTTCTCCACTGAACAATTTTTCAATGTCTTGATCCACAAAAGCGGCAGAACGCACAACTATCAAATAATGACCGAATGTTCATGCATGGTACAAGCAAAGACAAATGCAGCCGATTGTGTTTGCATGTTTTTTAAAAAAGACAACATGTGCCAGCAACATGCCACATGCGTCAACATAAAGATCCAAATGAACACAATGAACGTCAAAATGAAACCCGAAAAGTTGCGTGACTGTAACCTCAACTTAGGATGCCATTGGAATGGAAACCCATGGCTCTATTGAAACAGGGATCCAGGCAATTTCTTGGCTGGATCCTGGCTGGGAAACGGAGAAACCGCCATCAAGATATTTCACGAATTTTGAAGATATCTATTTGAAACTGATTTTCAGCTATGTTTGAGATGGTGCTGTACATTGACACAAAAGCAAAAAAAATGAAGTTGAACAACTCTGCAAATATGAGGATGTCACCCTGACGATCAGGCATCAGGATTGTTATACGAACATTGATCTGGTTTGTGGATTCATTGATTGTTCTTTACGAATATTTCTGGATATTTCTGGATGATGCCTGTTCGAGATTATATATTGTCATGGCTTGAAGCCACCAATCGGTGATGCATTGCATAAACAGGATCGGAGTGGATATGATACGTTCCACAGTTTCGACAAAGCATGCGTGATTTGATGGGGTCAGACCAAGAAAACTTTGGGAAGGCATCAACCAATTAAAAAATACAGGAATTGGACCCGCAAACTGGGGGATGTGACATGTTTTTTCCCTCAATATATATTGTTGTTAACCCACCATTATAGATCCTACTACAGCTCCTATAAATGGTGTTTTTTATAGCCTCTATATGAACATAGAAATTCAAAACCCATCATTTATAGATCAACTCGCGAGGTGTCCAGCGGTCGATGGACCCAGATTGTGGCCTACGCCAGCTATTACGAGCTGTACAAGTACAACGGAACACCAGTACGGGGAAGGAACAAACGGGAATTGTTCATGAACTGACCGCATAAGTCATAATAAAAATTGTTTTGTTTAACAAAATATGCATATTGAACAGATATAACTGTTAGGAACAAAACAACATGTTCAACAAACAACCGCACGCCGTCACTGTAAACTGTGATTAGCACTGGGGGAATCATCCCTTCGCCTATTTTCTTGAATTATTGTGACCATATTTGTTCACTTATCGATATATAAAATATTGCAACCAAAAGAGAGCTAGACTACAATTTCAAATAACTATACATATATAATCATATATGTATATATGTTTATTGCATGTGTACATGTTAACTTGCCAGAAGATTATCACCATTTATCACCCGATTTTTTCTTTATCACATATGAGAAAATACTTGTAGAATTACCATCATAAGCACAATGGTTGATCATGCAACAAAAACCATTATTGATGTAACTTTCTCAGATATATATCGGTGACTATATATTACTCCGGGTCCGTCATAATAAATAATTACCACACCATTTAGATAATAACGTATGATTCATGAATATTTATCTGACGTTTCCATATAAGTTTATAGCCGAAGAAAGTTTAGAAGTCAAACTTCCGACAATATGGACAGATGAAAAAGCAGAGCAGGGAAGAGGCAGAGAGAAGAGAAAAATTAGAAGAAAGAAGAGTCGAAGAGAAAGAAGATGCAGATGTGTGAAAAGGTAGGAAAGTCGCGAAACATTGTGTTTTCCCAATGATTTGTGGCTCCGGAGGGTCGAAAAGTAGGCTCGCTAGAGCGGCGGGTGCGGAGCCAGCTGGCCAGATGAGAGATGAAAAATTGCACGCCGTTGTGGCGCGAAGCACATTTGCAAGACAAAATGTCCAAAACAGCTGGGTCTCGGAGAACTTTTGGAAGTTGAGATGTCAAAAAAGTGCACGCCGTTGTGGCGCGAAGCATATTTGCAAGTGAAAATGTACACAACACACCATTCTCGGACAACTTTTGGAAGTTGAGATGTCCAAAAAGTGCACGCCGTTGTGGCGCGAAGCACATTTCGAAGTGAAAATGCACAAAACACACCAAATCCGGACCACTTTTGGAAGTTGCGATGTCGAAAAGTGCACGCCGTTGTGGCGCGAAGCACATTTCGAAGTGAAAATGTACAAAACACACCAGCTCCGGACCACTTTTGGAAGTTCAGATGTCGAAAAAGTGCACGCCGTTGTGGCGCGAAGCACATTTCAAAGTCAAAACGTTAAAAAACACTAGGGGTTCGGACCACTTTTGGAGGTTCAGATGTCGAAAAAGTGCACGCCGTTGTGGCGCGAAGCACATTTCGAAGTCAAAATGTTAAAAACACCAGGGGTTCGGACCACTTTTGGAGGTTCAGATGTCGCTTCCTGTGGCAGGCGCAAGGGATTTTGCACCTTGTCAAAAGTGAGCAAAACGTGAGGGCTTTGAAGCATTTTCAACTACACCCACCACTACACCACACTACACACCAATACATTACACTACACTACAACTACAACTACAACTACACCTTCACTACATTCTACTACACTACACTCCACTACACTCCACTACACTACGCTGCACTCAATTACACTCAATTACACTACACTACACTACATTACACTACACTACACTACATTACACTACAACTACAACTACACAACTACACTCCACTACACTCCACTAAACTAAATTACATTACACCACTACATTACACTACATTCCACTACACTACACTACACTACATTACACTACGCTACATTACACTGAATGACACTGCACCGCAGATAGACAGGTAGACAGCTAGACAGATGAAAGAGAGAGAGAGAGAGATAGATAGAGAGAGCTAGATAGATAGATAGATAGATAAATAGATAGATAGATAGATAGATAGGTAGGTAGGTAGATAGATAGATAAAGAGATAGATATATAGATAGATAGATAGATAGATAGATAGATAGATAGATGGATAGATAGATAGATAATTCAATAGATAGTTCAATAGATAGTTCAATAGATAGTTCAATAGATAGATAGATAGATAGATAGATAGGTAGATAGAAAGACGAATAGCTAGAAAACTAGACAGCTAGATAGATAGATAGATAGATAGACAGACAGACAGATAGATAGGTAGACAGATAGATCAGTAGGTAGGTAGGTAGGTAGGTAGATAATCAGAGAAAGATAGAGAAACAGAGAGAAAAAGAGAGAGAGAGAGAGAGATTAAAAAAAAGAGGAGACCTCAAGCACCTTTCAGTCCATCAGTGGCTTCGCTCTGCCATCCGTGATTCACAACAACCAACCTCACCTATAGGTTTCCTATTTTGGAAACTTCCGCCACCGCCTTGTGCGGTACTACTGGTATTACATTATCAACGATACCTATTTATTTTTAGATTTAAATTCGATTTAGATTTACATTTATATCTATATTATCTATATCTATATCCAAAACCTATATTTAATATCCTTTGTTGTTCTTTCACGGCCATGTGTGACGTTGCACTGCTTGATGGGTTGATCATGACATTCAAACCGTTGCAATCACTGTTCGAAAAGACGCAGGGGCCGCAGCACTCGTTTTGACAGTGGGATGTAAAGGTCACGACTTCGGATGTCTTGCGGCACGGACGGTCGGGCTAAGCCACTATGTTTGTGAAGAATCTGCGTCCTCAATGGCTGGAAGGGCTTGGTGTGCTCGAATGAACTGTCGAAGTTTGGTCACGAAAGACAAGTACAGTGCTAATTTGGTGTGTCTCAGTTGATCAATGGCTTGGGAGACAACACGGATGGCACGGCGGGCACATCATTGAGGACACCATTGAGATTGTCTAGATGGTCGGTTAGTCGTGCGTCGAGACGTTCGACAATCAAGATGGATCGTATCAAAGTTTGCGAAGAGGGAACTATGGCCACTTGGCGCTGAGCTCACATGAGCTGAGTGAGATGAAAAATTGTGTACAGCGCTTGCTGGTATATGGAGGGACACGTGTCCTAAACATTTGAGGGTGGGAAAAAAGTGACGCGTGAAGTGGAAACTTGGGATGGGACGAAAAGATGTGAACGATTTGAATGCACTGAGGTTCACTTGAACCTTAAGAGCAATCGTACAACTCATGATCAGCAAGATCAACATGACATGTCTTATTGTCTTTGCACTTGCATTGCAAAGACAAATCAATAACCGCTATTGGAATTAAAATTCCATCAACACGTTGAGTTACATCTTAATTGCCTTTGTGGTTATTTCCCGGACAGGTCTGATGCAGACTGGTCATGACATTCACACCGTTGCAATCACTGATCGAAAAGACTCAGCGGCCGCAGCACTCTTGTTGACAGTGGGATGTGAAGGTCACGACTTCGGATGTCTCGCGGCACTCCCCCAATCTGGAGATGAGAAATGTTCACCCAAGCAGAGCTTCCACAACTTCACCAAGTCTAATGGACTGGCATCACGGCCTAGGTAATGAGAGACCTTTTCTCTCGAAAGGATATCCGAGGGATTGGATTGCGACGGAACCCTTTCGATCCAGGTTACCAGGCCTAATGCTTCTTCAAGAGAACAGGACGTTCTGATGATCAAGTCCATGTGATCATTCCTTGACTTGCATTTGACAAAAACAGGCCTGGGCGGCCTGATTGTCTGTGAAGATTTCCGCCCTTCTACCCTGCACGAAAGGGCGAAAAAGAGATGCCATGGTTAAGCCCCCTAACTCAAAAATGACAGCCCCAGCCCTGAATAGCCATCTGGTTCCAGTGATGCATCAACGTAGACATGGACCCAACCTAAGAAGTTTGCATCAACCGGTCTCGGAACATTCGCTTCCAGCAGCGTGACCATGACTTCAAGGGACGCACTCACTTCACTGGAGATTGCACTAAAACCGCGTGTCACATGGGTGCTGAGCTCCCGTCGCAAAGCAGTTCCATTTGGCAGACTGTGGCTATATTGTGCACTAGGCAAGTGTGTTCCTACGGGAGGAACCGTACATGCAGTGATGAAAATGCGTCTTGTAGTGGGGCATGGTCGTTAAGAACTGATCCATGTGCTCTGTGACCCATACGTGTGTGGTATGCCACCACAGACTCCCAAACTCGGGCCACTGTTGTTGCACCACAGTGAAGCTGCACGAACTCTGCTACCTTCTCTGGCAAGTTTCGAAGGTAGAGAAGGTATTGATCCCCCTCATTGATGCGCAAGTCAGTCAGTTGACCAGCGATCAGTGAAGCTTCCAGCATAGAGTGAAATCCTTCGATCTCAGCCCCAATCTCTCTCAGTACATCCATAAGAAGATGCCTCTCTGACTTTTTCACAGTGTACTTCAGGCAGGCTTCTCTGTATTGCAGCGCCTCTGGACGGCTCATCAAACTGAACTCCCTGCGCAGCAACCTCAAAAGCTCAAAAGCATTTGCCTCCTGAATGCCATAGAATGCAATCTGAGATTTCACCACGTTGTCTACCCTAGAGTATCCAGGAAAACTCTGCTGAAGTAAATGAAACAATCGACGGCTTCGAATTGCTTGGTCTTGATTCACAATCACCACAGGGTATGGCAAGTTCATAGCTTCCTTGAGCTCTTGCGCATAGCTATTGTGGACAAGACACAGCCACGATGCAAACTTCTCTAACCAACCCTTGAAACAAGCTAACTCTCTTGCCCTGTTGTTCCAAGACTTCCAGTCAGGCAGTGGTGCTGCTGGAATCCACTTTGTGTCCATTGTCAACCTCTCAGACTGACCTGTAGAGTTCTGCGCTGCTGTTGGTGTCTGCTGCACTGGTTGTTGTTGAAGTCCAGGACCTGCGCGTATAAAAGATCCATAACCCCTTGGGTTAGCAACATCTGTTGGCGCAGCATCTGTGCCATCACTGGGTCTACTGCTGTGACAGTGGTGGATGCCTGTGCTTGGGCCCCCATGGCCAGTAAAACCAGAATCTAAAAACCCTGGCGGCATTCCAAACGTGGCAGCTGAGTTGCCACTCTGTCCACTGCTTCCAGTTTGCCAGGCTCCTGTGCTGCCACTGGAGTGGCTTCCTGGCAAAACAGCAGGACTGGTACCTGGTGAAAAACTGATCCATGGTGTCGTTCCTGCCCATGGGTCTCCCGGCCCTTGCAATGGGTCACTACCCATTCCAGATGCTTGCAATCTTATATAAGAACAAACTCAGGTAAACGATGTTATCAAGAGGCTGTGTTCCGGAAGTTTCGTTGTAAACGTTCGCCATAGATGTGGTATACAATTTACGGTATAACGCCAACATATATATAAAAACATAACGTAAGACGGAAAATATCCGTGGATACGCCTTCGTCGCAAAACGTCGAGAGAAAAACAAAACATGACATGAAATGCGAATCTGAAAATGATGCAGTCGGTTCGAGAGGATGCTTCACTTTTTGCTCGCGCTCTGAGAGTCTGGGGCGTTTGCATCAAACGGTTGTCTGAGCGACTGTTTGAAGACAGTTGAGGGAATCTGTCTTTTGTTGTGTGAATCTCACTTCGAGTGAGTTGTCGACACAATGCTGCTCAGTTTAGGTCCCCCCCCCCCCCGATATAGGGTTTGGGAGGGCGGGCCGAAAAGAATGCAAGTGGTAGAAGAAAAGGTTTTTTAACCCTCCCTACCTCTCCCTTGATGTGTAAAAAGCCACATGAACATAAAGTCATATGTGGTACCAAGGGAATGCATGACAGATTGTTGAGTTAAAAATGTTAAATAGGATGGAAACGTTCAAGCAAACATTGTACAACGCAAACACAGCCTACTAAACGAGTGTACGTTTAAACCTGAGTTGCAAAATTTGTTTGGATATTTTGCACTGTTCTTTTAAAGATGGTGCTCTCACTTCGTGACAGCACTCATCTTATATAAGAACAAACTCAGGTAAACGATGTTATCAAGAGGCTGTGTTCCGGAAGTTTCGTTGTAAACGTTCGCCATAGATGTGGTATACAATTTACGGTATAACGCCAACATATATATAAAAACATAACGTAAGACGGAAAATATCCGTGGATACGCCTTCGTCGCAAAACGTCGAGAGAAAAACAAAACATGACATGAAATGCGAATCTGAAAATGATGCAGTCGGTTCGAGAGGATGCTTCACTTTTTGCTCGCGCTCTGAGAGTCTGGGGCGTTTGCATCAAACGGTTGTCTGAGCGACTGTTTGAAGACAGTTGAGGGAATCTGTCTTCTGTTGTGTGAATCTCACTTCGAGTGAGTTGTCGACACAATGCTGCTCAGTTTAGGTCCCCAGTTTTTGAAGAGCAGTGTTGTATGGCGATTGATGCAAGTCGAGCACCAGGTCTGCCATGTCAATGGAAGCATCAAGGACACCACCGTCAGTGAGATTGTACTTGTGTAAAGCTTCTTCCAATTTTCCACGAGACGGCAAATCTGACGGGTTGGAAAATGAACAAACCCTCTCAGTCCAAGAAAAAGTAGGCCAGTGGAGTTCCAAGTCAGCTAACAATCGTGCCAATACTTTCATGGATATCGATGGGCTGTTGGCCTTAATGGCGCAGACTCGAGCAGCTTCGTTGTCAATCCACTTAATGACACGACGGCCGTGTAATTGTTTACGCAGGCACCATCTGACTGAAACCAATGCCCACAGTTCAACTTGGGAAATGATCTGCTCACCAGCTACCTTGGTCCAAAGTTTAACCAAGGCTTCCGGAACCGTCACTACGAATGCCACCCTTGAAGGGCCGTCTATGACCACGGCGCCCGCTGTCGCCACGCCGTTTTCGTAGGCCCCCTCGGTGAAGATGAGGATTGGTGATCGAGCATCTCCCAGGGCATGCGCACGAGGTTTCTGGCCTTGCAACATCGATTTTGCATACGTGCACAAGTTCACGAGCTCATCTGGTCTCTGAGTGCGTTGGCCTTCAGCGAAGGGCATGAATGCTGAAACGAGGTGTTTGAGCCCTCGTCCCATGTAAAAACTTACTGCAAAGTTGAGGAGACCTTGGAGCTCACTAGCTTTAGCAGCACTCAGAGCACGGTCCGTCGCTACCTCTTCTAGCATTTTGCAGAGTTTCTCAATACGCGAAGCCTTGTTGGAGATTGCAAAAGTCTTCTTCGGCAAGCGGTGCAAATCGAAAGTCACGCCCAAAAGGTCGAAGGTCGGGGCAAAGCTAGTTGCCTTGTCTCCCTCCTGATGATCAGGTAACACTGCCAGCTGTTTGTAAGCTTGCTCAGATCGAACGTCTTTCCATGCCACTCCTGCAGCTGCGCGTTCGTCCCTGCAGACATCCGCATTATTTCCATGACCATAGCTGCTGCGTAATCCACATCTTGCAGTTGTAGTTTGACGGTTGAAGAATATGCGGCATTGACTGCACCTTGTTTTGCATCGTCGATAACGCGCACCTTATTGTTGGCTCCTTGAAAGAGAACGAACCTGGGATTTAGAGTCCAATCCTCAGAACCAATGAGCACTGTCATCTCATCTTCTGTATACGGCCCCTGAAGGAACCCCCGCTGGACTTCTTCTGTTGTGGCCTCGAGCAAGGCTTTCTCTTCCGATGGATTCACGCGCCTAGAGCTAGTCATGATGGCTTGGCGGCGCCACTTTGCAGTTCTGGTGAGTTCATCCTCTGTCATGCTAGCGGGCACCATCTGTTTTTGATAACCTTCAGGCGCAGGTTGAAGTCCTACGGGAGGTACACCATGCTTCAAGAGGTTGACCACATCCAAGTCCCAGTATCCCAATTGCAAAAGGAGGCATTCAAACAAAGAAACGTTTTTGGTTTGCACACATCTTCTGACATCCGGGTGCATCGTGGCCTTCAAGTCACGCTCTTTTTGGCTTAACTCGGCAGACATTTTACGGATCTTGAAGACGGCTGTCAACCTGTCCTTCGCCAACTTGGTGGGGCATGTGTTGACCACCTTATCTATGGCCTCGATTGTAATGGGATGCGAAACTGACTCACAGTCCATGGGGTGTTGAACCCCGGTTGCCTTGTGCAGAAATTCCTCTGGACTATGCCGAACGCCATACTTAAAGGTTCTTCTGGACCGTTTGCGCGGTGTTTCCTGGTGCTCGAGCTGCTCAGTACTTTCTGCCCCCTGTTGGAGAGGAGCAGCTAGTAATTTGTAAGCTGGGTCAGGCGACGGAGACTCAGAGAAAACGAAGGTTTTGTATTCAGGAATCAACGGCGGGTGACGCACAGTTTGCTGTCCCATGTTGAGTTTCAGCAAGTCTTTCAGGCGCGGCTGAATTTGTGGTGTGACTCCAAGCTTTTTGGCCATTTGCAAAACGCAGTGAGCCATTCTGTCGCACAACAAACCAGGGTATTCTGCTTCTGCCGCCGTGGGAAAAGCTATGCCTTGCTCAGTTCTAAAAGGCTGCCAGGACGCGTGGACATGATTTTGTGGGCAGCAGGCCTCCAACTCTGTAAACAAGCCAGGTGTTGCAAGTAACTTGGTCCGTTGGTCTCGTTCGCTTCCATGTGCGCACGCATCGAAGTAAACACTTTCCAGATTAGCAAACCATGAGATGAAGTCGGGCTTATGTGTCGCTTTGACCAACATTGCCAGCAGAGCCCACAACCAAGACCTCGCTGGGTTTTCTACAGAGATCAGGCATCCCAAAACCATGCAAACTTCAAGAAGGTGGATCGCGCACTGGTACAGCTTGTTGGCAGTGTCAACCTTCAGTTGGTCCACTGGCCTCAGATTTGGCAATCCCATTAAGTGCTCCGCATCTCTCAATGGTGGTGGTCCAAGATGGCCTCCAAACTTAGCAGGCATGGGTTTCTCCCTTGCCCTGGAACATGTACCACATGGGAGGCCCATGTGGACGTGACACGGTCTGCAGTGGCGCAACATGTTCTCCAGGAGCTGCACCTGATCTGAATTCGAAACATCCAAAATGAAGACCTTGACTTTGGTTGCATGCCTGTTAGCAGCATGGTCCACAGGATAAACTTGAAAGCCAAAACGCCTTAATGCGTTTGACAAGCCAGCAGAGCCACAGCAAATTTCAAATGTCGTGGCTGCCAAGGTGAAACTGCTGTTGATTGTATCGATCCGAAGTCAGTGTGGGCATTCATTGCCCGGATGTAACTTGTGACAGGCCTTCTTCCAACACATGTGATAGCCAACCATGCATCGCTTTCCAGGTTTGACCTTTGCCGTGCATCTACCAACCTGCCATCGTTTGCAAAGCTGCTTTCCATCGACATAGATCTCGCAGTCATCTGGTACCGCAATGCCTGGTGTGGCTTTTCCTTTTCCTTTTGTTGACTTTCCCTTGCCGTCAGAGTGGTGTGAACCCTTACCCTTTCCAGTAGCAGGGGACGTTTGAGCACGATCATGTGCATAGCCCCCATGACCTTGAAGAGGGCTAAGGTGCTGCAAAACTTCAGCATGCTCTGAAAACTTTATGAACGCAACGTCAAAAGGCTTCTCAGCGCCGGTCTTCGGCTGAAGTTTTCCACGCGTTTCGTTTGAAACCTTCACCCATAGCGCTTTGTCAGCGTTGATCACTTGCTCCACGCTGATGTGCCTATAGTTGGCTATTGGGGCCTCGTTCATCTTTTCGAACAACTTCTGAGTCCACAAATCCAGCACAGAGAAAGTTGCAATGCCTGACAAATCATAGGCGAGTGAACGCCTGAGAAAAGCTTGGCGCAATCTGTGCTCGCCTGTCACATTGACATCATCCACTTTCTGCTTCTTGCTAAGTCTCAAGCCTCCTGACTGATCTAAGGCCAGTGCTGTGTCCATCTTGGCATGTAATGCCTCGTCATGACGTGAAGAGCACTTGTTCAGCTCGATGTATGTCACCACATTGTCCTCCAGCTGTTGGCAGACCTTATCAATCAGTGAGTGAGATGGCTCGCTTTGCGGTGTGAAACTGATTCCAGTCAAACGATTCTTCTGTTGTCCAATACGATCCATCTTTTCTGCCAGGGGGAGTATTCTTGCCTCACTAGACTCTGACCGGTCTGCACGTGACTTCAGGTCTTCCAGTGACAATGCGTGTGCCTCGAAGAAAAGCCTACGAAACCTTGTTGTAGCGGCTGCATCAGGAGTGTTTCCCAAAACTGTAGCTAAAAAGGTTGTCAAGGCGGTGTCATCTGTTTGACCAGGTTGAAACGTACAACAATAGGCATAGGTTGCATAGCTGTTGATGCCGCTATCTGACAGCGCTTCCACATCTGCCTGGGCAATTCCAAGCTCCACTGCCCTGTTTTGAAAGGCCACCTTTGAGTCGAGTGCCATTGGTCGCTCGGTGTCAGCGGTCTGTTATGCCTAGAGTTCCAAGGATTCAATGTAGCCTTAGAAGCAAGTATGAACCTGTTCAATGTAACTGTTCAGAAAACTTTGAGCATAGTTCCAAGTTAAAACAACTTGCAAGTTGAAAAGCGCCATGTCAATGCCTGAAATGTCTGATGCACGTTTCGTGCTGAGCCAGCGCAATGCATCCACACATGAAATGATTGAGCCACTTGGATCAGAAAAACCTCTGCCGCATGATGTCATGCTAGGCATTGGGTTGCCAAATGACGTGTGATTTCATGAGTTGTTGTGACGCATTCGCATCGTGCTCCTTGCTGGCATGTTGATGCATGAACATGTCAATGCCCGAATATTGCAACACAAGTTAGACAGCCTAGAAAATTTTGGCACATCCCATATGTTACGTCCAAAATTTGCGCTAGGTATTTTATGTCCAAGCTCCACTGCTGCGACGAAAGGTCATTGCCAGAAACGTACCACCATTCCGTCATCTAAGCTCATCAACATTGCCCTTGTCCAGAAGCTCTGTACGCTTGTGAACAGTTTGCACAAATCACCGCTTCCGTTGCTGCAAGATCGTCCACTTCAGCTCGGCGGAAGGAAGCAGATGCATGTCGCCCACACCAAAATTTCTCATCTTCGCTGACCAGCAAGTGGATCACTTTGGAATTGTTGTTGATGAGACACAACTCCACTTCTAGGTCATCAGCGTCCAAGCGTTTATAGCCAGGCTTTTGGGCAATGTCATTGTGTTCACCATCCGACGATGCAACTGAAGATGCATCTGAATCAGTTGTAGCATCGCTGTCACTTTCATCACCTCGATTCTCAAGCATCGTTGCGTAGGCCAGCTGGAAAAGGCGGCTGACACGTGTTGCATCAGGGTCAAACAAGCCGTCCCTGATTTTACCAAACATGTCATGGAGCTTCTTGCAAAGGCCAATTTGGTTGTCTCTGGAATAAATCATGGCTGAACGGTATTGGGCATGTACATGGTGTCCCAAGGCCAATTGTTCATCGGCACTGAACAACGTGCTTTTGGCAGCCCAGCTGAGTAGAGTTGCCTTGAGGCCATGAACCGTCAGCTTTCGTGCGCGATCCGGACCAGCATGTGGTTCAAGCAACTCTCTCAACCATCCAGTTGCCTCAGCAGTCGACATCCTTGATTCCACCCAAAGGTGTGCGCTCTCTGACCACGAGCACAAAAATTCATTCCAGGTGCTTGCATGGCTCTCTTGTCTGGCATCCATCCAACTTTGTCCCCAACATTCATCACATGTAATCTTTCCCAAGGCAGTGAAAGGCAGCAGCTCCATCTGTTGCTCCTTGCCTCTGGAAGACTTGTGTTTCGACGTCAAGGCCTCCAAGAGAAAGATGTCACCAGCTTCTGAAGACTCCAGTGCAACAACATACATTGAGTCATGCCAACGTGCGGCGGCGGCAAAGCTAAACAAGAGGTGACCCGCTATGACTCTCCGGTGCAGTGCATCATCATTTAAGCAAATGCGCTCCAGTTCTGAAATTTCAGTCACTGTCAAAACTTCTGCAGGTTTTCTGATGCGTTTCGTCATGAAAATTGAGTGAGCAGCCCCAGTAACCCGCGCGCTTAGCATATCTTGCAACCGCACCTGCGTAAAGCCCATCAAGTTGTCAGCAAACCTCATGGCCTCCACAAGCTGTGACGGCGTTGTCGAGCCTGCTCCAGAGTCCCTCAAGTGACAAATGTATTTGTACAACATCGTCTCACCTTGACCAAATGGTGACCCCGCACTTTGCGATTGAAGCCAACACGAAAAACGCCAAAGGGAGTTGCACCTCTTCAAAACAGTTCCAGTTGCTTTTGGGGCAAAAACATCCATAAATATCTGAGCCAGCTCATCATCTGGGCATAAGGTCCCTGCAAAGCTCCGAAGCGACTGGCCAAGTCGAGTTGCATCCAAATCCAACAAAACCATTGTCTTAAACCTTGATAGAGCCAGGTGTCTGTAGTCATCATGTGATGTGACCAACCTCGAAGCCCTGATGCGTTGAACTGTAAGCTCAGTCTGTTGTATGGGTTTTGGAATGGAACTGCTAGAAGTTGAGGCGGTTATATGATCTGAGATTCCAACCAGCGACATCTTGTTCTGACGTTGCATCCGTTCCCAGAAAGGTTTGGGCTTGGAAAACAAACTTGACAGTGGTCCCATTTGCCAAGGCTGTTTAACCTCTGAAATGAGTCTGTGAACCTGCATCGATGCCATCTCATCCGCTGTTCTTTTAACTGCTGAGCTAACTGAGGACAAAACTTCGGAGGGCCCAATCTTCGCCTTGGGCTTAGGACGCATGAAGTGTCGTCCAACCTCTTCAGCATCCGTTGGTGGCACATTGCATTCCAGTGCAGCGGCAGCATCAATGTCATCTTCAGGCAGTTTAAACAAAGTTGAATCATCAGGTTCCACATGTTCCCAAATGTTGCATGCATCTGACGGTGAACCATCAAGAGTATCTGCGTTTGGTTCTGAGGCGCCTGCTGAAAAAGAACTGCTCAGCCAACGCCCTCTGAAACCCCTGTGTTCTACCACCATTTCAGCAAAGTTGTGACCTTCTAGTCCCAGCTATGATATCGACAGCGGTGTCTGTTGTGAGGAATGTCAACTTCACACCACTGATGACAACCAGCTATTGCACAGCCGAAGCAACAAGCACCCTCAGCGGGCTCAGGCCGTGGCTCACCAGCCTCAGCGTCTTGTCCAGCCAGCTGAGCTTGATCGCCAGGGGCCACAGGCACGCCCAACCGAGATGCCAGTTCTCGCAAGATCACAACCAAGAGAGATATGATGCCGTAATTCGAAAGATTTGCAATTTGTTGTGCATCCATATACCCCTGTATGCCGAAAAGAATGCAAGTGGTAGAAGAAAAGGTTTTTTAACCCTCCCTACCTCTCCCTTGATGTGTAAAAAGCCACATGAACATAAAGTCATATGTGGTACCAAGGGAATGCATGACAGATTGTTGAGTTAAAAATGTTAAATAGGATGGAAACGTTCAAGCAAACATTGTACAACACAAACACAGCCTACTAAACGAGTGTACGTTTAAACCTGAGTTGCAAAATTTGTTTGGATATTTTGCACTGTTCTTTTAAAGATGGTGCTCTCACTTCGTGACAGCACTCATGGATCTGAACTTGAACTCAGTCCAGGTCCCAACACCAGAGGTGGGCCTTGTGGCCCTGCCATGTTGTACACAGGGGTCGTTCCTGTGCTCAGATGGCCCCCTTCTCCAGAAACCATCCCTGCAGGCGCACTTGCAGAACCTCCTGGGTTCACAGTGCTGTCTGGTGATGTACTTGGACTCATTGGCGCAGGTCCAGACATCTTCACAGGTTCAGATCTCTTAAGATCTCTTCTAAAACCTTCTCAGCAGACCAGTGTCGATCTTTCACAGATCACAGCAACCTCTCTTAGCGTCTGCCCCTCACCCTCAGGATCACTGGGGCTCCGCTACCATGTGAAAACACGAGAGCGGCGTGGCAGCTCTTTTTCACAGCTCGGACTTGAGCCAAACCACACAGGTTTGACAGCTCAGTCACTCCTCTTCTTAGAAGAGTCGTGCAGAGTAAAACGCACTGACACTCAAACGTCTCAAACTTCTCAAACTACTTCAAAAGAGTTCTCAAGCTTCAAAAACGTTCTTCCAGCTTCTCCAAACAACACGTCTTCAGCTCAAACTCACAAATAACCGACCAAACTCCTACCAAATAAGTTCACAACATCACGTTCCTGAGGCATGGGTCAAACAACATCCAAAAACACCAAAAACCACAAAAACAAACGAAAATCCATCTCCAAGCTCTTCTATGCACAAACTGGTTCAAACAAGCATGCCAGAGCTTGCCACTTGAAGTGTTCCTGCCATTGTAAACTGGCTGATTGGACGCGTACTCCGAGTTTGTTCAAGATTTCTACATATGAAAACATAGCATGCTCGAGTAATGGCAGCCAACGTGCTTTTCTGGAGTCTTTTCACCGCGGGTTGATGCTTGCTCACTATGTTGCCGGAAGCGTCAGCAGAGACCTCAATGTTTAAGAGAGATTTTTTTTTCCTCCGGTGTGGCCGATCACGCTCTAAGGCTTGGTCCTTACATGAGAATAAGCAATTATCAAGAAAACTTCAGCATGGACACAGGTGGTCGCATGCGAATTGACAAATCATGACCACCAAACACAAAACACCACAACCAAAGGGCAAGATGCAGATCCCAGCCAGATTTGCGTCTCACCAAGACAGCGAAGCAAACAGCAAAAGGGGCAAGAGTCCAACAAAAACAACCACAGAAGATTTGCCAAGGACACAGTGGTGAAAACCCACTATGTCGCAAACTCAAAAACATGCAGCAAACGAATTAATAGCCACCCAATGAAGTGAGACGCGCGATCGTCGTTGTTGCCAAGAAAGCAACAATGGATCGCATTTGCTGTACACTCTCGCCTAACAAGCCTCTCAGAGTCCTCTCACAAGTACTTGTTCATGTGCCCATGTACAAAGCACGAGCAGGTACCATAAAACACCAACTGTAGCAGGGGGAAAGTTGGCGGCCAGGTGTCGTCACGCCCCTCCCCATTGCGGGGGCGGCCCAGTAGCTGCGACAAAGCGGTCACACAGGTAAGTGACCATCCGTCAAAAGCCACAAACACATAAAGGGCGTCTTAGGGTGGACAAGACTTTTTTTCCGTCCAACGCCTTCATGGCTTCCGCCAGGTCGTTACACACGTTCGATCGTATCAAAAGATGAAGTGTAATTATCGTGCACGGCTATCAATTTGTCGATAGCCACAAAAGTACTGGTAGTGGATGCCGTCCCAGCAAGAAAACCAAAAACACAAAACAAACCACAAAAGCAAACAAGCAAAAACAAGAAAACAACAAACCAACAACAAAAACAAACAAACAAAGCAAAAACAAAACAACCAAAAAACACCAACAATTAAAATCACTACCAGCAATGGGGATTCATGCATAATGACATCTTGTGTGTCATGATGAGAATGGCCCCTAACAAGAAGCAAAACAAAGAACCACAACAAAAACGCCAGGGGCCAGGTCAGAGGGTGTAAGAAGCAACAAAGCTCAATGCAGAAACCAGGGATCCCCGAGATCACAAAGAGCAGCCGCTCAGGCATGACATTCACCCTGACACTTCGAAGCAAACACCGACAACGCCGGGTCGCAACGAAAGTGGTGAGAAAAGAGAGAACGGTGAAACAGGAGGGTGAGACATGGTCTAGTGTGAAAATGACAGCAAAAGCTACGGCACTTAGCTGGCTAAGATACAGCTAATTTGGCAGAGTTGGCGTATGGCAGCTTCGAGGTCAGTGACCCTCTGAGGTGGGATATTTTGGATACCTTGAAGCTTCTGGCATGCCTTGTCGAGCAGTTTGGTGGCAGCATCTACCTCACTGGTAGTGACCTGACACAGGGTCAGTTGAGTAATTGACTTTGCTAGGCGATTGACAGCAGCATCTTTCATTGGAGTCGGGCGGGCCATACTACAAGGCTAAACTGCACGCAGGGTGTTCTGCAGGCGTAGAGCAGTTGGGCGGTCCATCCATCAACCGCAGTGTTGTCAACTCATCGGAGCAAGGGCATAGGGACGTCCATTTGGAAATCATATATGGCCGGTCAGTACAATAGTATGTTGGTTTGAAGTAATGTCAAATGGCAACGGGTTCCATGGCTTGATGTACTTTGACATCGTCCTACGCTACCAGAGACAAAATTAAGTAGAGGCCCATTAAAAAGGTTACTATTATCCCCTACCCCTTCCTCCCTTCCCATCCTTACAAAGGCTAGCTTACCACTCAATCAGTTGGTTACGGTAAAGGGGGTCTCCCAGATCCACGGCAGTAGTCAACCATGGGTACCCCATGGTGACAGCCTGTGTGCACAGTGGTTGTTTGTCATGTGTGGCAACCGTGGGTACCCCACGTTAACCATATGAGACTCTGGAACTGTACGGGCTGACTGGCTCTGAGGTGTTCATGGCTGCCGGTGCTACTAGCTGCACTGTTTGAGGGGGGTGGGTCACCACTTCCTGTTGGCTTGATCATTTGCGCAATAAGTGGATGGAATCCTAATTTCGCGAGTGAAAGCTGCAGGGTCGTTCACTAGTGCCTTAGCGTCCGCAAGTGGCCGGTCAAGGACAATGGCAATAAGCATTTCGCCGCCATCTTTCTGGATGAGGGCTGGTCGGCCGGCTTGCATCTGTGCAAGGATCGCCACCGCCTTGTTTTCGCACAGGGTGCGTTCCCATTCCTCTAGGGCTCTTTGCGCCAAGGTGCCAGTTTGTGGTGGGGCATTTTGAGCTGCCGGTGTCCCCAATGCACGGATGAAGGGACTGTCAGCGTGGAAGACGGCAGGTTTGTGATAGCGGCTACTGCTCGAGAAATGTCACCATCTTTGCCTTCATAAGAAGGGGAAGATTTCTGTCCAATGGCCGGCTCGGAGTCAGCCCAAAGTTGCTGCAGTGTGTAGTCTGTCTTCGGTTCCATGTACCTCCTGTTCCATACTGCGTTGTGAGACCATTGAGGTGCGGCATGGTTTAGCTCGACAGAATTCTTTTCATGTCATATTCTTTTAACATGTCATCAAGTTCTTGTAGGGTTGCAGATCGATGAACAACATTGTCTAACGGCACCATCAATGTGTAGTGGCCATCCCACTGGCATGTGGGAGTCTTCTAAAAGCCCATCACCATTTTGTTCGATGATTGTGCCTAGCATTGGGACATCAATTGTTGCCTTGAGGCTAACCTGTGCTCGTTTGCATTTCCAGGTATCTGGTGCGAGCAAGCCACGTGGCCAGTAATGCCAGTGCTGGGAATTCCGGTTGGTCCTTCATCGGCAGCACCTCTTCTTTAATAACTAGTTTAAGGCCATGCAGCGGTTGGGGCTGCCCTTGGTCTGTTTGTGTAAAAAACGTAAACCCAAGTACACCTCTCGTGTACCCAAATCAACGCTTTCGTTATCTCACTACGCCAGACGCAAACACCTACTGTGGTTGCGGCCCTGCAGTTACTTACTTCTCTGCAATGTCAAAATAAAGGAACTTGTTCCACCCTGACTCCTAAGTGCACGTCAGACTCCTCCTTTTCTCTCCAGACGCCACACACAACGGAACAGGTCAACAGGAACCAAGGCAGGCACGCGGCCACAAACCAAAAGGAGTTCCAGTGTGGCTACTGTTTCAAATGCCCTAGGTGACACTGCAGTTCAGCTCGCTTCGGAACACTTGACACCACTCCCTTGAGCCGATGTCTCAACTGGAAAACTCGATTCCAGGTTTCCAACACACAACCTTCCCTCAAAGGTTGTTGAAACAATTCCAAACTGCTATGATATACAAATCACCTAGTCACAAAACGTCAGAAACATTTCCAAAAGTTCTCAAGTCAAACTGGTTCTCGTCCAAACGCAAATAAC